AGATTCTTGACATGCTTTGTGGTGGTCCAAAAACGTCTCTTACGATCCATTAACTGTCCATTAATGAGTCCTTACATTTTTCTGTAATTAATTCTTCCTCTGATCTTAATGTACTTGTATACTTATCGTGAAACATTTGTTCTGTTATCTCCTGCATCATAGTTTTTTTATAAAACCTGGTACTGTTCTGTATTTTTTGGTACTCCTAGGTTTTTATTTAATCTCGGTGTTTCTTCTGATTCTATATTTACAAGTTTATCAAATTCTTCGTTGGTTTTGATACGTAGATGACCAGGTACCTACTCATGTTGGTGTTATCCTATTTTGGGTAGCTAATTTCATCAGCAGCTGCGGGCACAAAAAACGAGCACATATCCAAAGACGCTACAGCTTTACATGCGCCTTAACAGAGGCTAAAATAGTTTCGGTGCTTTATAGGATTATTTCACAGTTCGTTAACACGTTCCCATAGTAGCCTTGACGTCACTTCCTGGTGGGATATGCATTTACCGCCGCGCCGCTTAAATGTCTGTCATTGTATGGATCAGCTTGTTTTCTGTAGATCTCCAATTTTCTCTTCTTGCGAATTGGAATTATTACCTCCAACTTAGTTATTAATACGAGTATCATATGTAATTACAGCTTATCTCCACCACTCAATTTCTTGTATTTGAGGCAGCGAAAATTATTAAATAGGTCTTTATTTCACCGATTTTTAGATCATATAGGAATAATTGTATTTTCTTTAGAATACGTTTTATGTATAATTTTTCCTGGCTCTGGAAATTCTTTACTGAACTGTTCCTTTTTGTCTACATATACATACAGATCAATTTCCTTTGAGTTTCTTTGACTGTCTGTATACAGTCCATTCATTTAGTTTACACCGATATTCAATTAACAGAAGTAAAACTCAGACATGACCCAATTTAAAAAAGCATAACGAGAAAATATTATATATTAATGGACTATAAATCTTTCTTAGAGGAACACTGTCCGGTCACCTGAAAGGTAACCTAAACCAATTCATTGATTCATATTATTTATTCTGATAAAACCAAACATAAAATCTTTGTTTTGAGTAAAACAAAAAATGTCTTTAAATGAAAGAGTAAGAGACTGAAAATACTTTACCTATTTACTTTTATTAGATATTAATTTAGTCTGCGATTAAATCGATTTAACAGTTAATTTTTTATTAATTGGTGAAGGTTATTATTATAGTTTTAGGACACATTTTATATTACTATTCACTTCTTTTAAGAATTACTTTTGTGGCCAAGGTACTATCGGTTTCTAAATAAATTATATCTCATCCTCCTATATTTCTAGCTATATAATCCCCATGTTTTGAAATCTAGCTCAGCTAAATTCTGTATTGACATCTATAGTCTAAATATATTAATACTAGATTATTCGTTAGTTCTCTATTCGTTATTAATTCACAAAAGTCTATTTCCCACCTTCTTATCATTAATATCATCGTTACTAGTTTCCTTTCCCAAATAATATCTAAGTTTTCTTCCTCTTTTTCCGGCGCATGTGTTATTACTCCAATTCATTTTTAACCTTTGATGGGTAATTTTATTTAATATGTGCCTTTTTTCTTCTACTTTATCACTTACTTATTATTGTTATTTTTGGATACTTATTTTAAGTATTTCTGTATAGAAATCAAAATTTAAAGACTGTAGCATTTCTAAACATAATCACCAATTAATACCATCAAAAAAATTTAAATTAGTATTATAATTAGTTAATTATAGATCACATTCTTATTCTACTTATTGAATATAATATTTCTTAGGTACTAGAAACTATATTATGCAGGTTGTTCTATATCAATTTAGAAATTATTCATTATATTTTAAATTACTTCGTTTTAAATCGACTTGTATAATATATATTTCTTAGACCTATAGATTTTACCTACTGACCTGTTAATTTCTTTTCCACAGCCCCAGATACTAACACTGGTCCTTGTGAGTATTTTGGAAACATAGCTGGTTTTTTTGATTGCAGTTGAAGCTATATAATCAGTCAAAATGCAGTATAATCTAGTAGTAGTTTTACTAATTTTCAATTTTATATTTTTTATAATATGAATTATTCCTAAATCGCTGAATAATTCGAAATTATCACAGGAATATAATTTATTGCTTCAATTGCAATCTGGCTTTTTTGTGTGGTTTGCCTTCATCTACAAATATACTAGTTTTGTTTGTAAAAATAGTTGATGTTCCATTTTTTTTTCTTCTAAAACATTCGAAATTATTTTCACGAACAAACCTAGTCTCTCAATTTTATCATGATTTGCCATTTTATTATTTACTTTATGCAATAAATCTCTTAGAATATCTTTTGAATGTCTTTGCATGATTGAAACTAATTTTCTTATTTATTTTGTTATTAAAGTGTTTTTGTTTATACATTGATTAAAAATCAGTGTCCTAAGTTTTCCATAAAGGAGTAAAGTTGATTTTTTTCAATAATGAATAAAATTTTAATAATTTCGTAATTGTTATGATCCCATTACTTGAAATATATTGATTTTTGGACGATTTCCTTTAAATTTCAATATATTAATATAATATATGTGGACTCCAACTTTGTAGCTTTACAGGGAGAGTCACTGGCTCGATAGTCAGTCAAATAAAATCCATAAATCTGCACCTATTTTGAATCAACTTACTTCATTATTTTAATGGATACAATTCAGTCAGTGCGGATCACTGACTCTATATATTTATCAAGGTGGGCTAGTATTCATTTTCTTAATATTTTTTTACTTTAAAAACAAGTTATGGTTTAAATTTTGATTTATTCCTATGTCAAGAAGATTAAATATCGTTATGTTAAATTTTATAGTTTGAACTCTTCTTCCTTGCTCATTTTTCTCCATTTACATGTCCAAAATTACAAACGATGCCGATTTATTTCAATTGCAGATATAACAAATCTACATTAAACTGTAGGTTGGCTCACAAGCTAGGAAGTACCTATCATCTTAGGAGAATGCAAAATGTGGCCTAAGTGCCGTGGGGGTAACCCACCCTCCACAGCGTGTTAAAAATGGGCCAATTCCTTTGGTATTTTCTTTAAAATTGATGCACATTCTATTTAAGGGGGAGTTAATCATAATGTTTGTTCTAGGAGTAAAAAGTCTGGAAACGGCCAATTATCTCGTAAATTGCTTGTCCTAATTGTACAAAATTTGGGTACACCTATTTTGGGATACGGAAATTCCAGATTATTGGAATCTCCTATTCAATACGAGTTCAACCATATGTAACACTTATAATTTTATGTAGTCTGGAAGGTCTTAAATAAATAAAACAATCATGGAGAAATGTGGTAGACGCATTCTATCATCGATTAGGGTACTCTCAACTCACAAATGGATCACATTTTGAACACTTGATAAAGTATCCATTATGTTAAAAATGTAATCTTTCAATTGTTACGTTTTAATGTAGTTGAAAATATTAAAAAATTTATTGAGACACTGAGGCGTTGCCAGACTCCTGTTTTATTTATTTAAGACCTTCCAGACTACATAAAATCATAAGTGTTACATATGGTTGAACTCGTATTGAATAGGAGATTCCAATAATGACTGAATATACAGGGTGATGAATATGAAAAACCAAAGTGACTAATAATATAATAGAAACGGCAAATCTGGCAACATTGCAAATATCAAATCTGGAATCTCCTTATTCCAAAATAGGTGTACCCCAAATTTTGTACAATTAGGACAAGCAATTTACGAAATAATTGGCCATTTCCAGACTTTTGGGCCACTCCATAAATGTACCACCTTTTTACTTCTAGAACAAACATTATGATGAACTCCCCCTTAAATAGAATGTGCATCAATTTTAAAGAAAATACCAAAGGAATTGGCCCATTTTTATGCTCATTAAATCATTTTAGGAATAAAATCAAAACATCTTATTAGAAACTTATTATCACAAATTAGCTGGTCTCTTTTTTTTTTCTTTCAGTATTTACATATTGTCCTAAAATATAGATCTATCTTAATTTAATATCGGTATCGGATTTAGTTTTAATAATATTTAAGCTGTCCTGTAATTGGGTGTACTCCTATTTTTTTTTTACTGGAGTTATTTAAATAACTTGAATAGGGTCTACTTATTCACTCCGTATAGCTGCAAATTTGATGTTCATAAAAAAGTTGCTTCTTTTGGCACTTTTAACAATATATTAGAATTTAAAGAAAATCGAAAGAGACTCAAAATTAATGTATTTGGTGCGGGTCCCTCTACGCTTTTTATAAGCATAGCAAAATATCCAAAAATTATACTCTATGGATATTCCTAAGTTTGTCGTTATGTAAAAAACTTATTTTTATTTCTCTATCGCAAAAGGACATTTTTTTAAGAATATATGTAATTGCTTTTTGAGCTTACAGCTTAAATTTTTTGAAACTCGATATGATCAAAAATGTATTACAAGTATTTTCCAATTCAGGATGCCAATGTTTATATATCTAACTTAACAATTTTGATCTAGTTGAATTCATAAAACCACGCTCCATCATGCATAAAACTCACGCAAAAACCCAAAACTCTTTTAAATTCAAATATTTAATCAAACATTTCTATTAGGCGTGATCTCAGTAGTTGACGAACTGGATTACGAAGAAAAATCTTTCTTCGAACTTACCATCCGAGCAACAGATTCGGTGTCCGGAGTTTACGCCGAAGTTCCCGTCACAATACTTCTTCAAGATGTCAACGATTGCCCTCCAGAATTCACTGAAGAAAATTACAATGTTTCTATCTCGGAAGCTGCTCAATTTGGCACTGCGATCCTGACTATAGTCGCTCTCGATGGGGATACTGGTATTAACAAAGAAATTACCTACTCCATTGCTAAAGATGATAATAAGGAAAACGAATACTTTTTTATCGATGAGGTCGATGGAACGATTTATTTAAAACAGTCTCTTGATCACGAGGAGAGTAGTTTACATCATTTTGTGGTTATAGCAACTGATAAAGGAATGCCCAATTTGTCTACTACAGCACATGTATGGCTAAAAGGTATGTACTTTAAACATTTTTTCTTAATATTTTTTTTATAGTTTTTCCACAATCAGCCAGATTTTCTCTGTTACTCTATTAGCTATTCGGGGGTAAAGTTGAGCGGGAAGTTATTAGAAAACGAATATGGTGATCCGAAAATCAAAATGTTTTGATGGTTTCAATCAAAAGTTATACATCTTAAGATTATCTACAAAAAAATTTGCAGAATTTGAGGCTCGGTATGGCCCTTATCGTTAGCTTTAAAATGTAACTGGGTCTATTTTGAAGATAAACTTAAGTTAAACCAACTTTTGTTTGAAACTTTTGTGATAAAATGCGTATTTCCTAAAAAAAAAATGGAAAACCTATTTCCCAGCTGCTTATTTTAGTGTATGTTGACCTAAACCATAATTAAGCTATCAATTTCTATTTCTAGATCATCACATTCGTAATCTATGCAAAAAACTACAAAAATTTCAACCTTCTTAAATTTTATTCAGAAGTGGGGATATTTACTTAGAAATCAAGTGCTAGCTAATAGACTTTGTCACAAATAAAACTAATAGCAATTACAGTTTTCTCGTTTTGATACATTGAAACAATGTTACACTTTGTACAGAGGAAGTAATCGCTATTAATTATATTTAACATATTTAAAAACCGGACTGGTAATAAAAAAAATTTATTGTTGCAATCTAGCTTTTATACCCTTCAATATACTCCCCTTTTCTATCCATACACAGCTTCATACACCTCTTTCATAGTTCGAAACAGTGCTGTAGCTTATTAGCTGACATCCTGCAGAACAGGTCTGGCATTTTTTTCACGTCCTTCACTGATTGGAAATGGGTCTCTTTCAAACAGCTTTTTATTTTTGGAAATAAGAAAAAGTCACGAGGTGTCAAATCAAGCGAATACAGAGGCTGATCGAGCACTGGGATCAGTTTTATTTAAACATATTTATAAATATACTGTCATATTTTAAAACGTTATTCAACGTGTTTTTCTTTAATTTTAATTTTCTTTATTTTTTAGTATCAGGTTTTGAAATGTGACGCTATTCTCCAATTTCCTCTTAGGTTTATTTTTAATTATTTCATTATTCTTTTGAAAAGAGTAAAAAGGCTTTCAGAATTAATCAAGCTTTTTGATAGTTTTTAGCAATGGCTTCACGAGCTAATCGGATAGCCAAACTAAGGGAACATTATAGAAGAGAACAACATAAATAAAGTAATTAAAAAAGCATTGAATCAATATCAAGTAGGTTTTGACGAGGCTTTTAAATTAGCTGAGGTAGAGATACAAAATAAGTTAGTTTTACGTAAATTTGGTACAGACTTATAATGGCTCTGGGGTATGTTCCCTAAAAATAGAGAAATATTTGAGATTCATAATGTTCTTAATTAAGAGCACACAATATTAAACGAAAACTATTTCTTCAAATGTTTGATGGTTTATATACTTTAAAATTTTTAAACTGCTTTTACTGAAAACTAATTTTTTTGAGATGTAGATAACTGTTCTTGGAAAGGTGCGAATATATACAATATAGTATGGTGCAAACGCTCGTTCTGTTAGATATTTCTCTTATTCGTGACTATCATCTATGTGAGCGATATGACGTACTCGTTGATTTTTTAAAATGGAAATGTAGTTTATGCGATTCATCATTTTAAAGGTCTTTTAATTATCTATCCAATTAAATTAATAACTAAGGTTTTTAAACTGTCAAAAAAATATTTATAAAATTACAACAGATAACTTTTTTGTATTAATGTTTGACTCCCTATACAGGGTGTCTGTAAAAGGTCTTTACAAAAACATACCACATATTCCTTAGACCAAAATAAGTCGATTTAAGTAAAATTACCTTAGTACAAAGTTGCTTCGTTTGGGCTCCAAAGGGCCTTGAAGTTACAATTTTTAAATCGTTTTTCCAATATAAATTTAAAACGGCATATGCGATTTTGCTGAAATTTGGTATATCGGTAGAGTTTTATGTGGCAAAAAAGTGGTATTAAAATTTTGTCCGATAATCATACATAGGCGTAGAACTTGATTTTTTAAATAATTGCACCTTCAAAAATTCTACGCCAATATAAGAAAAGGAGTATGAAATTTAGATTGCGCAACTCATTTACTTTAAAAAAGGTACGCTTGATAAGACTCAATTACTTTCATGGTTTTCGCTATTTTCGCTAAATTTCTGTTTTAATAATTTAGAGTGTATAGGTTTCACAAAAATATTTATTTACAACATAATCAAAATAGAGATTTTACAAAAATTGTTCATGATGTTCACCATTTTCACGCATACAAAGATTTATACGTCGAAGAAAATTAAAATGTATCCTTTCCATAACTTCTTCATCACCTCTAAGATTGTTTATTGCATCTTGAATAGATTGCCAGAGTTGTTCCTCATTTTCTACAGGTTCCCTGTAAACTGTGGATTTTAGATGCCCCCATAAAAAGTAATCCATCGGTGTTAGGTCTGGGGAACGTGGTGGCCAGTTTACAGGTGCGTCATTACCTCTGCCTATCCATTTGTGTGGATATTGTTCATTCAAGTGGTTTCTAACGTTTAAAGAAAAATGTGGTGGAGCTCCATCTTGCATAAACCACATATCTCTCCGAAGTTAGAGAGGTAAATCTTCTAACAATTCTGGCAACGTATTTTGTAGAAAATCCAAATAATTTTCTCCAGTTAATCTTCGTGGAAGTATGACAGGACCAACAATGAAATTACCAATTATTCCAGCCCACACATTAATTTTGAATTCGTGCTGAAAATGGTTTACCTTTATTGCATGCGGATTTTCAACGGCATAAACATGTTCATTATGGGTATTAGTTATACCTCTTCTTGTAAAACCCGCTTCATCGGTAAAGAGAACCTTCTTGACAAAGTTTGGATCTCTTTCTCTTTGCATATTAACAAATCGACAAAAACCCAAACGAATTTTAGGATCATGGACTAATAATTCTTGTACTGGCTTCTTATGGTATGGATATAGCAATTGTTCTCTAAGCACTTTATGAACGACATCTTTACTTACTCCTAGTTCCCTTCAAATTCGTCTGGTGCTTAATTCTGGATCTTCTTCAACACGTTCTAAAATGTTTTCTTCAACTTCAGGAATCCTTACAAAACGTTCTCTTCCATTATCAACAGTGTTGGGAGCAAAGGAACCGGTCTCCCGAAGACGTCTCTCAACAGCAGCAAAAGTTGGGTGGCTAGGTACACGACGATTTGGAAACCTTTCAGAGTACACCCTGACACTCTCTCGAGCATTTCCTTCACAAAATCCTAATGTCAGTAACATATCGGTATATTCTGCATTGGTATATTGTACAGCCATATTAATAAACCACGCATTTGTTTTTTTAATTATTGAGTCAGATAGAACACTTTCAATCGTTAACAAGAGATTAGGTGTTAAAACTTGACAATATTTTTATTTAGATGAAACTATGGAAACCAACAATAAATGTTTTTGTATACGTATTGCAGGCAAATAATATTCCTCAAAAAATCGTACATGGCAAGAATCGAGTATTTTTGTTAAAAGTCTCGATTAGAGGTGTTGAAGAAGATATGAGAAAAGTACATTTTTATGTTTTTCATCGTATAAAATTTTGTCCGAAGATAATAATACATAGGCGTAGAACTTGATTTTTTAAATAATTGCACCTTTAAAAATTCTACGCCAATGGCAAAAAAGGGGTTTGAGTATGAAATTTGGATTGGGTACTCATTTACTACAAAAAAGTACCCTTGATAACACTCGATTTACTCTCATGGTTTTGACAAAGTTTGTATTTTAATAATTATTGTTTATGTTCTAAAATTACTAAAATGCAAATTTCGTCAAAACCATGAGAGTACCTTTTTTAAAGTAAATGAGTTGCGCAATCTAAATTTCATACTCTAACTCCTTTTCTTCCATTGGCGTAGAATTTTTAAAGGTGCAATTGTTTAAAAAATCAAGTTCTACGCCTATGTATTATTATCGGACAAAATTTTAATACCATTTTTTTGCCACATAAAACTCTACCAATATACCAAATTTCAGAAAAATCGCATATGCCGTTTTAAATTTATATGGGAAAAACGATTTAAAAATTGGCCCTCTGGATCCCAAACGAAGCAACTTTGTACTAAGGTAATTTTACTTAAATCGACTTATTTTAGTCTAAGGAATATGTGGTATGTTTTTGTAAAGACCTTTTACAGACACCCTGTATAAATACCCATAAGTAAATTTGGTAAAAGCCGTCACTGCAAAGACAACATTAGTTTCTTACTTGACTTAAAAAAAATGTGGCGTCTCATCAAAGAATGCTGCGAATACTGCACCCATGCGACTAAGCGAAAACAAGAAAAAGGATTTAAACTAAAGGAACTCATTTCAACAAAAACATAATTCTTCCGTTTTAAGTAGACATTTACAATCCGTTTTTATAGTTTTCTCTATTCTTCCGTCTTGAATTTTTTTATGCCAATTAGAATATATTTTTATTCTGTTATTTTTTTAAGAAAATATAGATAATACATCGTTCATCAAAACTAATATTTATTTTATTTAACGAACTGTTGTTTAAATTAGTTCCTCACTGAAAACTGATACTCAAATATGTCTTTAAAATAATATAACTTAAATTTAAATAATAAATGAGTAATACAAAAATAAAATATTTTAAATACATACAAACGTTGTAAATGGTTTTATTAAAGAGATACTTAAAACAAAACAATTTGTATTTTCTTTTCAAATACAAACTTTAGTAATGTATATTCCAAATTTAATGCATACAGACTGAAAATTCAGCCTTTATACTATCTTCTCTCACTAAAAATGTGTTAAAATTAAAGCACAACACAATTTTAACTCATTTTTTAAAACAAATTTTTGATTTAGTTAAGTTTATTATTGAAGGTGTTAATGAACTTTTCAATTTAAGGACCAACAGTACCTTCCAGACGGGTAAAAAGAAAATTAATTATTCTACCTGCTGAATGCTGGTAACGCTTATAAAGAGACATGTCAATAACGTGTTATGGCTTCAAAAGGATGGAACAAGTTATATGGCTCGAAAGTACATGTTAATTTTAAGACGAATGTTTCTTGGGCTACTTACGGTGAGAGGTGATGATGTTTGTTGGATGGCAGGATTACTGGATCTAATCTGTTGCGAGAGTATCAGGTCAAAAACGAATATAATCAACAAACTCAATGATATCCATGTAAAGAATGGTCCAGAATCTCTACGCGATTAAGTATAAAACAATGAGACAGAGTAAACTGTCGAAAGTTAAATTAGATATAGAATGGAAAAATTAAGTCAAATATCTAACCCTGGATAGTCAAGCAACCATCAAAGCGCTGAGCTCTTACATAATCAGCTCAAAAATGGTCTAGAACAATTGAATGAGCTAGGCGAGAAAAATAGAGTTACTCTCACTTGGGTCCCGGGACATAACGGGGTACAGGGTAACGAGATTGCAGATAGTCTTGCAAGGAAAGGGACTCAAACACCCTTTGTAGGACCTGAGCCGTTCTGCGGTATTAGCAGTAACATAATATTGGGAGAGATTAAAAAAGAATTGGGCAATAGAAGAACCGATAATTGGAACAATCTTTTGGGGCTGAGACAGGAGAAGATACTTCTGGGTGAATATAACCAGAAAAGATCGGAAGCCTGCATCTGCCTGTAAGAGAAATCCTTACCGGGCATTGCCGACAAAAAGGACACCTAAGTAAACTGAGAGTAGTAGAGGATAGTGAGTGCAGATTCTGTGAGGAGGAGGACGTAACCTCCATTCACATCCTAACTGAATGTGTAGCAATCCAGAATCTAAGGGCACTATATCTAGGAGGATATCAAATAGAAAAGGGAGATTTACCTAACTTGAAGCCACTTCAAATCCCACACTTCCTTGAAAAAATAGGATTGGAAGGGTCGTTATAGGCATTGAAACATTTCCTTTGTGCATTGGCGACAGAAGGGGACACAATAGATCTTTTAGGTCGCACCCCATTCCCAACATTCCATGCTTTTTTAATTACTTTATTTATGTTGTTCAGTATCAAAAAGCTTAATTAATTCTAAAAGCCTTCTTACCCTTTTCAAAAGAATAATGAAATAATTAAAAATAAACCTAAGAGGAAATTGGAGAATAGCGTCACATTTCAAAACCTGATACTAAAAAATGTCTAGTAGCAACGTCCTAATATTAACAAAGATAAAGAAAAACAAGTTGAATAACGTAACGTTTTAAAATATGACAGTATATTCATATAAATATGTTTAAAAATACACAAAATTATAAAATAACGTCTTAATACTAATTATGACACTATTTTTCTTAGTAAACAATAATGTTTGATTTATGACACTATTCTTCGAACTCGAGATATCTATACGCGACGAACTGAGAAATGACACTGTTGTACTGAGCGAAATGACTAATTCATGTAACGAAACACTGACAATACTGCCATCTCTGGGCAAATAATAGAAGTACAAGTTGTTATTTTTTCTCGACAAATTTAAATGTCTTTATAATATTTTATGTATTTATATTGAAAATCATAAATTTTGAGATATGTCACTGTTAATTTTTAAGTAGATATAAATATTAAAATTCAAAAAGCACAATTTTCTCTATATTGTCGTGATAATCGAATGACAGTAATTTTGAGGACAATACCAAATTTGCTTCATTTACAAATCCATTTCTCCACTTGTATAACACCGTTGATATTACATTTATTTAACGAATTTGTTGTATCGACTTTTTGCTACGGCGTTATATTTTTATCAATTATACAATAAATAGAGTCAAATAAACAAAAATAATAATAACAAAAATATTCGATAGCTCAAATCAGAGTGATACGCCTAATTTTTTCTAAATTCGGTGTTTAAGATGAGGGGTTCCCTTAAATTTAACCAACGACCAAGGGGCCAATGCTGGTGGACTCTATTTTCAACTTATTACCTCTCTGCTCTGCTAATTGAACTCTGATATATTTTAAAATTTGAAAATTTGGAAACATATCTCAAAAATCTCCCTAGAAATTATTAAGACCATCCCCGAACCCCAAAGATGAAAACAAATACTTGGAGATTTAAAAAAAGCCTGTCGCAGCCGGGGATCGAACCCGGACATCAATGTTTGTTAGACATGTGCATAACAAACTTTTAAACTACTTTTTTACAAACTGCAAACAATATTTTAAAAAACTAGAAACATATATGTCAAAATCGGTGACAGAATGGTTTGTTTTTGTTAAAAGTTAACTGTTAGTGGTACACAAATTACGTCACACTAATATAGTGTATTGTATTTCTATTTTTTTCGAATTAAAGTAAGAAAACGCCTAATTTTAGTGTATTTTGTAAAAGGTTATTATTCAAGTTAATTAGAAAAAACTGTCAGTCAAAAGAGTATTTATTATATTTTCTTCTCATTCCTATAAATATATACCCGTAACATTAATTCCCTCTTTACACCCTGGAAAAAATCATAATTATATTTTTCCCAAACATTGATCTCAATTAAGCAATTATTAACATCGCTGCTCGAGTGATGGGTATACCATTATTATTCTTCTTGTTTATGAACATTTAGTAATTTAATTTACGTTCTGTATTTTCAGTACTAGACATGAACGACAACCCGCCTAAATTCGAACAATCCAGCTACTCCTGCGGCCTTTCGATCAACGCCAAAAGAGATCAATTCGTCACAGTCGTCAGAGCGAGCGATCTCGACGAAGTGGACTCCAACAATTTACGATATTCAATAGTGAGCGGTAACGACCATCAAACTTTCTCCATGGATTCGAATAGTGGAATTATAACTCTAACAAACTTGGCAAACTTTGGATCTCAACACATCATGCTTCTTAACATTTCCGTTTCTGACGGAGTTTACACTACTTTTGCCAGACTTAAAGTCGAGTTACTGCCAGCGAATTTAAATCCCCCTCAGTTCACTGATATCATCAGAGACGTGCAAGTACCCGAAAATAGATTACCTGGTTATTTAGTAACCGTTGTTAACGCTACTGACGAGGATATGGGCGATTTTGGAGTCGTAACTTATAATATTCACTCTCCGTTACTTAGCGAAGTTTTTTCTGTTGAAAAATCGTCAGGAAAAATAACTACGAAAGTGAAACTTGATCGTGAAAAGCACAAAATGTATGAAGTGCTTGTCTCTGCTACTGACGGAGGTGGTTTATCAGACTTTATGACAGTGAGAGTTAAAGTTACAGATGAGAACGATAATTTCCCCAAATTTTTACTCAAAGAATATAAGGTTAGTATTCACTCTAATCTAACAACCGGTACCAGCTTTGCTAGAGTTAAAGCAGTCGATGATGATGAAGGTGCTAATGCAGAATTAAGTTACTCTATTTATGAAAAGAAGCAGTCTGAAGTGGGAAGTATTTTTTCTATTAATCATGTTACTGGAGAACTGTATTTGCTGAAAAATGTTTACACCTCAGGTACGTTTATAATATTCTGATATAATTTATATGTAATGGTTATATTTTTGATTACAGTTGGTAATACTTTTCAATTTTTTGTGAGAGCCACTGATCGAGGGAAACAAGAAAAACACGCCGATGTTCCCGTTAATGTTCTCATTATGGGACCGAAAGACTATCCTCCGATTTTTGAAAGAGATGTTGGCAAGTTCTTTTTGTCAGAAAATTCGGCTACAGGTAAGTAATATTTCTAGCATTATCGATTTCTTGGCAGTACAAAATATTTGTTTTCTTTAGTAAATGCCCCAAGTAAAGAAGCATTTACGATTATTACAATCGATCATTAAGATCAATTAGCAATTTTATTCTAACCTAACTTATCTAGGAATGAAAAACTTTATAAACTAAGATTCTACTCACTAGTGTACCTTAGAGTCTAATTATTTAGTTACACTATCGTTAACGTATAACACTAAACCGCACTATAAGTGAAAGTGTTCCACAATGAGACATAAATTACGTTTCGGTAAGTTGCCAGAGGTTATGATTGAATTTTGTAATTTTGTTGTTTCATGCCCATAGATTGACATATTCCTCGTCATTTAACGCAATAAGTTTATCAATATATCGATTTAGAAAATAAATAGGGATTTTTTTAAATCGTGATTTTTGTCTCATTGTGGAACAAGTATGTTCCACTATGAGACAGAACTTTTTAGACCAAAAACAATTAAAAAAATATGAAAAAATATATATATAATAAAGGAAAATGAACATTCTTTTGAAATAAACAGTATCAAAAAAAACTTATTTTGCTAGATAGGATACCATATAAAATATAAATCCAACAAGTAAAAAATAAAATAAATTCCTTCAAAATATTAGCGCACATTTTATGAGTTGAAGTTTAGTTCAAAATGTATTAGAGCCTGTTGCTTCTTAGTTTTCCCAGTCGTTAAATATTTGGAAAGTATTATTTTGATGTTTTTTTCTTCAATCATATACTTATATCTTCTCTTACGGGGTGGAAAAAACAGTTGTTAGACTTGTTAATATTACAAAGAAATGAAATTTCAAATTCATCTTCTTTTTTATTTAAAATTTTTCCGACATAAAAGATAACAATTTTTAATTCATCAAATTGAACTAAAACGTAGTCCCCAGCGATTGGTTGTCGCTCCAGTGCAAGAAATTATCTTTATCCAAGGCATCTTCAATATCACTAGCATCTTCAGAGGAGCCCCTAGTATCTTTCTGATAGGATTCCCTATCAGACTCTTCACTAGAAGATTCTTTAAACACTCTGGTCTTGACGTCATTTAATGTTCCCTGCTTTTTCGTCATTTTTAATTCTCCTTGGATTCTGCTTTTATTTAATTAAGTTCTGGCGTGTCTGTAGCTAAGATACTCTTCTTTTTTCTAGCCCTGTTCTTTTGTTTTAATTCTGGTGCTTTCGGATAGCCTTTCAATACTGCCGGCGATATAAATATTTCAATATTATTAGTTCCTTTGGTGAGTTCAGATGCTTATATATCAGTCTTAGAGGTTTCAATTGTTGTGCCACTGCAATCCTGATTATCAGCCGTATGGGTTTCAAATGTTTCGTCTCCGCAATCCCCAGTAATGTGATGCTCAGATGGACCAGCAATTTCATCGTCGTCCGTGAAAATGTTCTTGTCAAAGGAAAAAATACTTGAGTTTTTAAAACCTGCTGTTATATTTTTGGGGGTCATAGATTTTTCAAACGCAACACCAAAATATTCAGCTATTTCATAAATTGAGATCGAATGGCCTGGATTCCTTAGCATCCACGAATCAAGTGCAGCATTATATTGTGATTTGAATGAGAAAAAACCGAAAGATCTAAAGGCTGCAATTTGTGAGAGGTGTGCGGTGGCAATGTCAAGATAATAACTCCATTTTTCTTTGCTAGGTTAAGAACATAAGCCGATAAATGGCTTTCATGGTTATTCATAATTAAAGGTGCGGGATTCTCTACACTACTCGAGGTATGATGTATGAGGTGATTCATGACTTCTATAAATAAATCCACTGTCATCCATCCTGATGGTTGTGCAAGGCCTAAGGTACCGGGAGGAGCGCCGTGCAGCATGTGCTGTTTAAATTTATTTCTTGGGAAAACCATAACTGGTTCACCGCTAGTTGCTGAGCTAACTTGTTTAATTCCCTTCTTTGTTACAACTTTACGTGGTTTCTGAACAGTAGTAGTTGCGGTCTGGTCCAGGTTGTAGATGCGAGTCCCATCTGCAAAATGCTTTGAACGCTGATAGATCGATTCCAAATTGGAAAAAAATTGGCCTACATTATGCTTTTAAATGAAGTAGCTCTGGAAAGGCTACAGCCTTCTGGTTGTCTTACACTCAACTCAGGGTTCCGTGACATAAAACCTTAATAACCATTCCATCCATGCCCGTTTATTAATTTGGAATGTTAAATTTATTTGCATCGGCTACTTCGAAAGCAAGTATTTGCAAATCTTTCCTAGTTTTGCCGTAGCACATTTTCGAACAAGTTATAGCATATTCCGCAATAAGTTTCTCTTGTTCTGAGGTAAAAATCTGCCGACAGGCATAGTTAGGCTTGTATCTTATTTTCACATTTTCGCCTGCAAGTTTTTGTTTTTTTGACGTAGCGATGAAGCGTTTGAAATTTAATGCCTGTCCTTTCATATGCTTGTCTTAAACTTAATTTTCCTTAAGAACCATATGCACAGCTGCCTTCATTTGGTCCTCTGTGAAAGAACCTTTTCTACAAATGAGTTTCCTACTCTTTCATTCTATTCCCCATAGTTGGACAACTTATATATCCCCTTTGTATTTCTACATTGGAACAAGAGTACTGCTTCTGCCCTATCCACATTTTTCAACTTATAAAATTATTTGCATTTATTTCAGGCACAGTTATAACTCGACTCAAAATGGTCTCGAACATTTCTGTCAACTTCCGAATAATATCGGACTACGATGACGATCCTCAATTTTCGATAGACTCGCAAGGACAAATATCTCTAGCCAAACCATTAAACTTTGAAGCACAAAGCTCACATTTCATAGGTGTGTTGGCGTTGACAGATTCAAGTCCTCCTTTAGTAGCGCTTGCGGAAATCGTGTTGCAAGTTCAAGACGAAAATGATCATGCTCCACAATTTGAAAGTAATCTGTACCATTTGAGTTTGGCTGAAAACGTGGAAGAAGGAAGATCTGTCTTAAAAGGTAAACAAAATTATCTCTAATAAAATAACAGTATTCTAATTTATTTTTGATATAGTTATGGCACACGATGAGGACCAAGGTAACAATGGGGAAGTGCGGTATAATTTTGGATCTGATATTGGGGCCATCGCCAATTTATTCGCAATAGATATTCATACAGGATGGATAAGTGTAATAGCTAAATTAGATAAGGAAACCAAATCCGAATACAAATTTTTCGTCACGGCTACTGATAACGGATCCCCTAAACATTCAGCGCGAACTACAGTTTTGATACGTCTAAAAGATTATGATGACAGCCCTACTAAGTTTAAAGAAAGTTTTTATAACAGCTCAGTGAGTGAAGATGCTTTACCAGGAACCGTTGTTCTAACTCTGGATACTATAGACGATGACATCGATCTTTCCACTCCAGTTGAGTTCTACATTGTTTCTGGTGATAGTTGCGCTGATTTTCAAATTAAGCAAACTGGTGAAATTTACGTTGCAAAACCTCTAGATCGAGAAAGAATTCCTATTTATAATTTAGTGGTTATAGTTACAGACGGACTGTATACAGACAAAGCAGAAATACAGGTTACAATAGGAGATGTTAATGGTAAGTTGAAATTATTAATAATTATTTTTTTTTTTATTATTTTAATTTCTAGATAATCCACCGTACTGCCTTAAACATAGATACCGCGAACCTCTTTCAGAAGGTATATTACCAGGTTCGTACGTTCTAACGGTTCTAGCTACAGACGCTGATGGTCCAGAACATTCTAAACTACGCTACGTTTTAGCCGGTAACGGTTCTGAAAACTTCTCTTTAGACAAAGAAACTGGAATACTAAAAACTGTAGCCTATTTGGATAGGGAGAAGCAATCGAAATACCTACTAACAGCGCACATACACGATAAAGAAGTAGCAGTATGGGAATGTTCCTCAAAAATTGAGCTTACGATTTCAGATTTGAACGATAACGCTCCTCTATTCTCTTTGCCTTATTACTCAATAAGTTTACCAGAAGACGTTGAAGTGGGAACTTTAGTGACGAAAGTCCATGCGTCTGATGCCGACGTCGGAATGAACAGAAAAGTCAAATACACGTTTATTGATTCTTTTCATGACCATTTCCGTGTCGAACCCGATAGCGGTATAGTCACTCTAGCTAAGCCATTGGATAGAGAAATCAGAGCTATGTACAACTTAACAGTTCAAGCTACAGATCAGGGTGCTCCTCAATTATCTAGTACCGTTCATCTTATCGTAAACGTACAAGACATCAACGACAATCCTCCAGAATTCACAACTAAATATTACTTTGCTACTGTGCCTGAAATTGATAGCATTGGAACAGAAATTGTTAGAGTTCTAGCCACATCTAAAGATATTGGTGCTAACGCCGATGTCTACTACTCCATTATCGGTGGCAATGAACATAAAAAATTCTCTATACATAATGAAACTGGTGTAATAACTATCGCAGATACTTTAGATTTTGAAAGAGCTAAAGACTATTTCTTAACTATTCAAGCTATCGATGGCGGAATTCCACCCTTAAGCAATGTTGCTACTGTTAACATTACCATAATTGATTGTAATGATAATGCTCCCGTTTTTAATCAAGCTTCGTATAGTGCCAGAATAAGAGAAGATGCACAGATAGGAGACAAAATTTTACAGGTAAATTAATTCGTTTATTTTCAATTGTAATTCGATTTGATTCGATTTTGATTCGATTTTGATTCGATTTTGATTCGATTTTGATTCGATTTTGATTCGATTTTGATTCGATTTTGATTCGATTTTGATTCGTTTTGATTCGTTTTGATTCGATTTGATTCGATTTGATTCGATTTTGATTCGATTTTGATTCGATTTTGATTCGATTTTGATTCGATTTTGATTCGATTTTGATTCGATTTTGATTCGATTTTGATTCGATTTTAATTCGATTTTAATTCGATTTTAATTCGATTTTAATTCGATTTTAATTCGATTTTAATTCGATTTTAATTCGATTTTAATTCGATTTTAATTCGATTTTAATTCGATTTTAATTCGATTTTAATTCGATTTTAATTCGATTTTAATTCGATTTTAATTCGATTTTAATTCGATTTTAATTCGATTTTAATTCGATTTTAATTCGATTTTAATTCGATTTTAATTCGATTTTAATTCGATTTTAATTCGATTTTAATTCGATTTTAATTCGATTTTAATTCGATTTTAATTCGATTTTAATTCGATTTTAATTCGATTTTAATTCGATTTTAATTCGATTTTAATTCGATTTTAATTCGATTTTAATTCGATTTTAATTCGATTTTAATTCGATTTTAATTCGATTTTAATTCGATTTTAATTCGATTTTAATTCGATTTTAATTCGATTTTAATTCGATTTTAATTCGATTTTAATTCGATTTTAATTCGATTTTAATTCGATTTTAATTCGATTTTAATTCGATTTTAATTCGATTTTAATTCGATTTTAATTCGATTTTAATTCGATTTTAATTCGATTTTAATTCGATTTTAATTCGATTTTAATTCGATTTTAATTCGATTTTAATTCGATTTTAATTCGATTTTAATTCGATTTTAATTCGATTTTAATTCGATTTTAATTCGATTTTAATTCGATTTTAATTCGATTTTAATTCGATTTTAATTCGATTTTAATTCGATTTTAATTCGATTTTAATTCGATTTTAATTCGATTTTAATTCGATTTTAATTCGATTTTAATTCGATTTTAATTCGATTTTAATTCGATTTTAATTCGATTTTAATTCGATTTTAATTCGATTTTAATTCGATTTTAATTCGATTTTAATTCGATTTTAATTCGATTTTAATTCGATTTTAATTCGATTTTAATTCGATTTTAATTCGATTTTAATTCGATTTTAATTCGATTTTAATTCGATTTTAATTCGATTTTAATTCGATTTTAATTCGATTTTAATTCGATTTTAATTCGATTTTAATTCGATTTTAATTCGATTTTAATTCGATTTTAATTCGATTTTAATTTGTTTTTAATTAAATTCTATTTTAATTCAATGTTATTTAATTTTCTCTTCTATTTCGTTTTTTTTTTTACTCATTCATAATTTATTCTATTTTAGATTGTTGCAACCGATTTAGACAGTGGCAAAAATGGCGAGGTGTCATACTCAATCATTAAAGGAAACAATCAAGGACAATTCGAAATTGATGAAAAAACGGGCTACGTTTTTGTATCGGCTGACTTAGATCGAGAAACCGTATCCAGTTATGTAATAGAAATTTTAGCTAAGGATAATGGATTGCCGGTTCTTTCCAGACAAACTTTACTTAATATTGACATTTCGGATGCTAATGATAATCCGCCAATATTTTCTCAATCCAATTATAGCGTCATTGTACAGGTAAAAAAATTATAATTAAACTAATAGTAATCTAAATAACTATAATAATATATTTTTAGGAGGATAAGCCACTGGGATACTCTATATTAAAGTTCGAAGTCACAGATGACGATACTGTTCCCAATACAGTTCCATACACGTTCGATTTTCGTCATGGTAATGAAGGAAATAGTTTCAGATTAGACCAAGACGGGGTCTTAAGAACAGCTACCAAATTTAACCACAAAATGAGAGATACCTACTTGCTACAAGTTCGCGTATTCGATAACGGAAGTCCACCTCTTTTCTCCGATACTTGGGTGGTAGTTAAAGTAATAGAAGAGTCACAGTATCCACCAGTAATAACACCGCTTGAAGTAAATATTAATAGTTATTTAGATGAGTATCCTGGAGGTCTAATTGGTAGAGTCCACGCAATTGATCAAGATCAGTATGATACATTGACATTTTCTTTATCACCCACAGCTGGTATTTCATATCCCACTCAAGAATTGTTTACAATAAATAAAACAGATGGTACTCTAAGAGCTCTTCCTCGGTTAGATGCAGGTGATTACAGACTAAATGTTACTGTGACAGACGGAAAATACTCTACCAACGCAATAGTAAAAGTCAACCTGGAAATTCTATCAGAAAGTATGCTAGATAATGCTGTAGGTATCAGATTCCGAGATGTCAGACCAGAAACGTTTATCCTAAGCCACAGAAAGGGTTTTGTGCGAGCAATCAGAAACGCTATGAACTGTAGACTCAAGGATGTAATAATTATTAGCGTCCAACCTTCTAATAACGACGATCTACTTAGAGCTAAACGTTACAGCAACAAAGATCTTGATGTGCTCTTTACAGTTCATAAACCCGAAGAAGGTTTTTTCCCAGCTGAAATAATAAAAAAGACCTTAAATGACAATCTTCAAGAACTCGAGGAAAGCACTAAATTAGTTGTAGAAGAAATAGTTAGATTAAAATGCAGCAATAAATATTGCATATATGGTCTATGCCAAGATCATTACATATTGGACACAACCAACATCGATCCTATTTCTACTGATGTCACGAGTTTCGTTTCACCTAAACATCATCAGAAACTTGAATGTATTTGTAAAGAAGGTTACGGTGGTGATAAATGCGATGCTATAGTCAACGAATGTGCCAGACAACCTTGCGAACCATTCAAACTATGTGTACCAGATTCTTCTCAGGTTGGCTATTCTTGTCAATGTCCAGAGGGTTATGCAGGAACTAGTTGTGAAGTAGATATATCCAAATGCCATGACAATAATTGTTACATAGCCAGAAATCCGATTTCGTTCAGCGGAAAAAGTTATTCTCAGTACAGGATTATTAATAAAAAATCAATTGAAGACAAGTTTAGTTTGAGCCTGCGGATTAGAACTGTGCAGCCCACTGGGAATCTGCTGTATGCTGCAGGAAAGATTGATTATATTATTTTGGAGGTAAATATTTATTTTAAATTGATGATGTACATACTACGTAGAAAGGACGAGTTCTAAGTGGGAACAATCTATTTTTCCGAGTTCTAATTGAGAAAAATTAGTTTTTCCGAGTTCTAAGGCTGAATAATCCATTTTTTCGAGTTGTAAGTTGAGAAAAATAGTTTTTTCCTATTTCTAAGTCGAAATAATCCATTTTTCAGTTTTCTTAGTCGGAATAATCTATTTTTCCGAGTTCCAGGTCAGAATAATCTATTTTTTCGAGTTCTAAATGAGTAAAATTCGTTTTTCCGAGTTCTAAGACGAAATAAACCATTTTCCCCAATTGTAAGTGAAAAAAATTAGTTTTTCCTATTTCTAAGTCGAAATAATCCATTTTTAGTTTTCTTAGTCAAAATAATCTATTTTTCCGAGTTCTAAGTCAGAATAATCTGTTTTTCCGAGTTCTAAATGAGAAAAATTCGTTTTTCCGAGTTCTAAGACGAAATAAACCATTTTCATGAACTGTAAGTGAAAAAAATTCGTTTTTCCTATTTCTAAGTCGGAAATAATCAATTTCTTAGTTTTCTTAGTCGGAATAATCTATTTTTCAGAGTTCTAAGTTAAAATAATCTATTTTTCCGAGTTCTAAGAGAGAAAAATTCGTTTTTTCCGAGTTCTAAGACGAAATAAACCATTTTTCTGAATTGTAAGTGAGAAAAATTGGTTTTTCCTATTTCTAAGTCGAAATAATCCATTTTTCAGTTTTCTTAGTCGGAATAATCTATTTTTCCGAGTTCTAAGTCAGAATAATCTATTTATTCGAGTTCTAAATGAGAAAAATTCGTTTTTTCGAGTTCTAAGACGAAATAAACCATTTTCATAAATTGTAAGTGAAAAAAATTCATTTTTCCTATTTCTAAGTCGGAAATAATCCATTTCTTAGTTTTCTTAGTCGAAATAATCTATTTTTATAATAATAATACTCTCCCTAATTCACCCCCTTACGGGTGAATTTCAACCCCTGAAGTCGACTGAACGACTTGTGTAGGGGAAGGGACGGCTATTATTATTATTATTTGCCGTGGCGCTCCGGGGCGACTTAAGGATGATTGATGGTGCCATTTGACTTACAGGTGAGGAAAACCCGGAAAACCTCACCCACCATCATCGAGACGATAATGTATGGCGATTTTATAATCTGCATGTCATATCAATAGAAATTGAATTTTCTATTAATACGGCACACATCAAATCCTAAACTAAACCATGCAATTTAATTAAAAATCCAGATGGTCTGGTCTGGGATTCAAAGCCCAGCAGTCTCGGACTCATAAACTTGCCTATAAATGAATATAAGCGCGTTAGACCGCTACACCATCGACCCGAGTTCTAAGTCGGAATAATCTATTTTTCCGAATTATAAGTGAGAAAAATTGGTTTTTCATATTTCTAAGTCGAAATAAACCATTTTTCAGTTTTCTTAGTCGGAATAATCTATTTTTCCGAGTTCTAAGTCAGAATAATCTATTTATCTATAAGTCGAAAAATATTTTGGTGTCCTACGCTTCCTTCTACACTGCTTACAAAAGCAAACCTTCATTTCTGCTCTGTTGTTATGTTATACTAAACAGTAATTAGCGTTCGCACATGCACGGAAAGGAAGTACTCAGTATCATTGTTACCAATTCGAGGTCTAATCAGCGGTTGGAAATGTCGATACTACATCCTTTTCTCTCCTGCAAGTGCGAACCCCATTTACAATTCTAACACAAGCAAAGCAGGGCCGAAGGTTTGATCTTGCCAGCACTCTATATTGCACATTGTTCATTCTTTAAAAATATTTTATTTTTTAGATCGTCAATGGTCGAATTCAATTCAGATGTGAGCTTGGCAGCGGCGAAGGAATAGTTCGAATTCCAAACGTTTTCATCTCAGATGGAAACTGGCATGAGATAAAACTAGATAGAGATAGAAACAATGCAAAAATTATCATTGACGGTATATACAACGCCCAGGGTTCAGCTCCTGGTGTCAACGAGATCCTCAACTTACAAAGTGACGAACTGTATTTAGGAGCAGAAGTACATCAACATCCGAGCGTTTTAGGTTTCGAAGACATTCAAAAAGGTTTCATAGGATGTATGGACGATATAAGAATATCTAGAGTATCAGTGCCTTTACACAAGTCGGGAGAAAACTCGGTAGTTGTTCTTAAAAGATTCGCAAATGTAGAATTTAGTTGCGATACTGCGACTGTGCTAGTCCCGCCGGGTCCTTGCGGGTCCCAACCATGTATGAATGGAGGAACTTGTAAGGAAACTAAAAATGGCTACGAATGCAGTTGTCACGCGAGATACACGGGAAGTCTTTGTGAGCGCGATACTGATCCCTGTGCATCGACGCCTTGCCTATTCGGTGGTAAATGTACTCCAACTGTTACTGGAGACTTTACGTGTGAATGTGTAAATAGACTAATTGGTAAACGCTGCGAATATGGAAAATACTGCACTCCAAATCCTTGCAAGCACGGCGGGGTTTGTGAAGAAGGCGACGAGGGACCCTTGTGCAAATGCAGATCTTTTACCGGAGAATTCTGTGAATTCGATTTGAATGAATGTGAGTCGTCACCCTGTCAAAATAGCGGTTCTTGTATCAACGATTTCGGTTCTTTTCATTGTGTTTGCCCGCCCAATGTCACCGGACCTTATTGTGCAAATACCATCTACAACACACCGTTATCCACCTCGTTTTATAATATTACCTGGGAGGAACTCCTGTATATCGGAATAGGAGCTGGTGCCATCTTCGTATTGTTTATTCTAATAATTTGTTGTTGGTGTTACTGCAGATGCAAGCGGAAACGTAATATGAATAACGAAAACATAAAAGAAAATATTGTTTTGAATTCAAATAGAGCCCACGAGCTATCCGAATTTAAAAGGGGTTCTAAAATCAGTAATCTGGAAGTGAATCAAAGGGACCTACCAACTTGCCCACCAAGACCTGTATCTTACACTCCAAGCTCTCAAAACGATCCGATCTACAACTGTAACGCTGCAACAGTGATGTTAAATAATTTAGATACTTTAAGAAGTTACGGTTCGGCAGGGGACGAACTAGAAAACCCTCCACCCGACTACGTACGACCCGATTATGTGAAAAATCTAAACAGGAACACTCCTCCTGGCTGCATCAGCAACCACTATGATTCAGAAAAGTCGACTTTTGCCGAGCAAATGCATTTACAGACATCGTTAAATGACAGATCTAAGATTAAAAAAGGATCAAATAACATTCCTGATTATATCAGGCTCGCTGCTTCGAATAACTGTGATATTACCAATAGACTGTATGGCGGGCGAAGCAATGGAACTAGTAATATTAAAAGTAATGGATCTGTGAGCGCGGATGAACAACGAAATACAGGAAGTAAGTTTTTTTATATTTTTTTATGTATCTTATCTTTTAATTCACCTCCATTTCATTCTAATTACGTATATCAACAATGAATAAGATTTCCGAAAATAATGATATATTATATGATTGTTCTAAAAGTATAAACTATTATTTTTACCATTTTGTAAAAATGTATCAGTTTAATACAGCTGAAAAGAGATAAAAAATATAATATCTTAATAGTCATTCCCATCACTAATTTTACTTAATAATTAAGCACTGCTTCATTAGAATCTAGAGAATGTAGAATGTAAAGAAAACCTATATAAATCACGCTTAAAGCTCATTAGTCTAGAAATTTGTAAAGCTTTCATTGTATATTTAAAAATGGTTGCTTGGGAGCTGTAAAATACTTTCTCATACTTTAGTATTAAAAAATTATATAGGAGGCAGCACGAAAAGTTCCCTTTTCTCCAAACTGCCAAAACTACAATATGAGATACTTAGTTTGTGTTAATTTACAATGAAAACGTCTTTTCTGTCGTCATAAAATAAAAAACAAATCATTAGAAACCTGAAAAATAGACAACATTTTAAATTATAATAATTTATTCGCAAAGCATGTTTAAATTTATCGTCATGCAAATAACTGAAGATAAAAACATCATTAATAAAAAATATCCTATACATTTGGCCGATATTTCACGAAATGTTATTTTTTACATGTTTTTCTACGAGTTCCTAAATGTTTTCCAGAAAAATATTAACGAATATTTATGAATTTTATAAATCAGAGAAACTATTCAAAGTGTAATTAAAAAATTACACCATTGTCCAACTCTACTTTTTTTCTAAATTGAGGTTGACGCTTCTAGCTTCTCAACAAACATTTTATGCAGGATAATAAAAGGCCCAATAACTGTTCCTAGACAGAACACGAGGCTAATGGCCGACGCCGGCATATATAGGCCACTACAGCCGTCAGTCGGGCCAAAATCACTTGGCCATTAAATCCCTTTAATGTCTAGAAATAAATATATTGGCAATTAATGGCCTATTTATGGGAAGTTAATGGGAAATTGCTGGCCTTTTACCATATTAATAATGACTCCTAAATAAAGGCCATGTGTCAGGCACATGAACAGATAGGATATTCGAGAGTGCCTCTTTGACCAATAGCAGAGTTGCCAACCTTGAAGTAAGATTTTTCCCTCGATCTACCTTAAAAATTCCCACTTTTATGAAAAATCCCCAACTTGTTTGTGAAATTTCTAAAAAAAGAAAAATCAGCCCAATTTTTAAAAAAGTCGTCAGTTTTATACCAGAATACAAGCTTGTATCATAAATCTTTTAACAATACTTTAAAAATAATAACACACATTTCATTTATTTTTCAAAACATACATTTTTCACAATTTAGACTGGAGTAAAAAAGTCCCGTTTTGGGTTAATTTTTTCCCTTTTTTTCCTTTTTTCCCTTTTTTCCCTTTTTTCCCTTTTTTCCCTTTTCTTTTTTTCCCTTTTTCCCCTTTTTTTGAACTTTTTCCGCTTTATTTCTTTTTTTTTTCTTTTTCCCCTTTTCCTATTTTTTCCCATTTTTTTCCCTTTTCCCCCTTTTTTCCCCTTTTCCCATTTTTCTCCTTTTCCTCTTTTTTCTCCTTTTTTCCCCTTTTTCCCCTTTTTTTTCTTTTTTCTCTTTTTTTCTCTTTTTTTCTCTTTTCTTCTCTTTTTTCTCTTTTTTTTCTTTTTTTCTCTTTTCTTCTATTTTTTCTCTTTTTTTCTCTTTTTTTCTCTTTTTTTCTCTTTTTTTCTCTTTTTTTCTCTTTTTTTCTCTTTTTTTCTCTTTTTTTCTCTTTTCTTCTCTTTTTTTCTCTTTTTTCTCTTTTCTTCTATTTTTTCCCTTTTGTGTTAAAAATTCCCGCAAAACGGGAATTTTCCCTCCGGTTGGCAACACTGACCAGTAGTACCGTTTAAACTATAAATTATATACAAAAATAAAAGGCATTCCAATATATCATATATATGACATTAGACATTTTAATTCAGCTATATAAATAATATATAACAATACAGAACAATTGTCTTCTACAAAAAGATTATTCATAAAATATTCTAAATTAACATGTAAAAGTAAGAAATTACAATGACTACTGAATAGTGAATACAAGCAATGTGAGACTGGCTACATAGTACATGTCCTTTCGTTGAGTACCTATCTAGCAAGTGATCATCGGTGTCTCCATCTATGAACGCGGGACGGAGCCCTCCTGGACTGTTGGAGTTGGGTCTGCGGCAGTTAAAAGCTGTTTTTTTTCTTTTACATGCTTTTACCCTTCATAAGCCACCAAGCAACATAATGCTGGGCCACTATCGAAAGGCCAAAAGTAGGCTTTTATATTTTAATCATCGCATTAATTTTCCCTTCAATTACAGCAAAAGGCCAGCAATATCCCGGCAATTTGTTGTTTGTTGGGTTTAGATAACTATTTAAAAATGCTTTATGAATATAGTGTTTTATTTTTTAATTTGGTGAATATACAGGATAGTCGCGAAAATAATACTTTCCTATCCTATATGATTATAGTTTGGTATTTGGTATTAAGAGTAAACAAATCTTAATACGTATATCTACCCAACAAACATTGAAATTTTGGCACGTTGTTGGCCCTTTAGCAAATGTGATGACAAGGTAACTTGTAACGATAAAACTCGTTATGGCCCTTTTGGAATTTATAATTAACTGCCCGTTAACTTTAATTTTTCGAAAGGCCATTGATGGTTTGTTAACTGTCTCCCACATTCAACTGTAGAATCGTTTAAAATTTGTAATTAACTGCCTTTTAACTTTAATTATTCGATGAGCCATTAACGGATTTTTAAGTTTCCCACAAGCAACTGTGAAATCATTATGGATCGTTTGAAATTTGTAATTAACTGCGTTTTAACTAATTATTTTATGGGCCGTTGACGGCTTTTCAACTGTTTCCCATATTCAACTGTAAAATAATGGTAAAAGTCAAAAGGCTTTTAACTGCCGCAGACCTAACCTCAACAGTTCCGCGTTCTTAGATGGAGATACCGATGATCCCTTGCTACATACTCAACGAGTGGAGATGTACTATGAGGCCAGTCTCGCATTGCCTACCTAAATGTTTCGGCATTTTAACACAAGTAAGTCACTTCTCAAAAAAAAACACTACAAACAAATTAAAATAAAATATAACTCCAAATCTGCACGCTACACAAACAAACACAAATTCAAGAAAATATTATCATCTACTGACCGCCTCCGACAATACGGCTATTGTTTGCATCTCTCTTTAACAGTTACAGTAGACGTTGACAATTGAAATTCGAGATTAACGCGCATCCCCTCTTCAGACAAATTAGGTTGCGATGCCTGTACATACTTTTAAAGGCCGTTGACTTTCCAAAACATAATGTTTGTTGGGTAACTATGGAAAAATTAATAATTAATTTAAGGATTAATTAAAATGTTAAAAGCATTTGACAACAACGCTGACGGTCGTGTTTTTAAAGTTAATTAGAAAATCCAAAATAAAAGGTCAAAAATGAATTCCAAGTAGTCCAATTTTCTTACTTTTACGTAATGATAAGTCAAAATATAACCTTTTTAAGTTCAATATATTGAGCTGGGTACCACAGCGATCTTTGATTTTGCTTACTAAGTGTGTATGGTGTTACTTTCAGACTTCGGATCCTAACGAGTGACGCATTCTCCTTAATAAGCAGAATCAAGGTTAGAGTGATGGAAATAATTTTCTACCTCTTCTGTTTTCCTTTTGATATAATTCAATGCCAGTTGTGGTATTAGCCAAAGGAGTAGTTGTTTAACGTTTCTATAACACGATCTTTGAGTTTTTCTCATTTCCTTTGTTTTGGTCACATAATTTTTTTTAACGATAATCTATTTGAACTTGATAATGGTTTGATTAGCGGAACACTTGGGATTGAATCCAATTAATACAAAAATTTAATTTTAAGCTTGGCTTATTTCTTAAGGCTGCGCTATCACGACAAATGGCGGCAAAATAAGACATGTAAAAAAACACTCTCCTTCATGCAAGTTAATTTAAAAAATGTGTACTTTATACAAGTTTTCAAAATATTTTATAATTTTGTATGGTATTAACTTTATGATGATACCATTTATATTGCTAAAAAGATTTGCGTAAGAACTTAAATAAAAATTTTATTCACACACATACTTACGGACATGCAGATCCGGTAATGTATTTAAATGTAATTCAAAATTGAAGAAGTAATATAAAAATTCTTGCATATTAATGAATTCTCCAAATTTTTTTGTATACTACACTCTATCATTGTTGTAAATAAACACGTAATAAACTCGTAGACCTGCAAATATTGTAAAATAGCCATTTTCTCACTAGATTTTAGTTCAGTACAATTGCCGCGAGGTGTTACCCGAAACTTTTGTAACTTTCTTCTTTTAAAATAAAAAAATGGTCTGCTATTCATATATTATCCAGTTGATCGGAGGCACACGAAACACAAAACTATTAAATGATATCTTGTCGTGATAGCGCAGCCTTAATGACTAGCGATACGAATAGCCCTTAATTACTTTTTATTGGGTACTTTACAAAACGTACATTGTATCATCTGGTTCTATGGCAAATAAAGACACCAATAATTTTGACATGAATATCCACCATTAATGGTATTATCAAATACAAGGCCAATTACATATTACAGGACGAAAAGGATGTATTTTTGGGGTACGGACAGGTCCCAATTATACACTTAAAGTGGAATATATAATAAAAAGAGACGATTTCTGGTGTAAAAATATGGAGGAGAAATTAAAAAAGTTTTATATAAACTGTATGTTAACAGAATTGGTAGATCCAAGGCATAATCGGGGAATGTCATTAAGAGAACCTGATAACATCTTAGAAGCTATTCAAAAATTAAAAAATAAAAAACAAAAATAATTACCTCCAAAAAGTCAAATAACATTAACACGTTGACGGACACATGTGAACAGGTGGAGATGCTTTGTGTGACACTATTACAACTTCCCTAAATTTTGCAATGTAACACTTATATAATATATGTTATTTGACTTCTAAAAAAGCTGAATAATATAAAAAAAACGGCTATAGACGTCACTGTCACATACTAGACATTTTTCTATATAATTTGTAACGTAGACGTCCATAGACGTCGGTATAAATAAAACAATAGAATTACGCAAATGTATTTTTTATTTGAAAACAAATGAAACTTAGAAAAATCCTAAATGAAAATGAAAAATAATAATGAAATGAAATAATAATAATGAAAAATGAATATGTTTTATAAAACGCATATACGTAAAAGTATCTTGTTTCCCGTCCTACTTTGTTTTTCATACATTCCCTAAATTTCAGAAATAAATTGGATTTTTTTGTAATCCTGAGGAACTGAAATATTTTCCAAAAAATGCTGATTTGGGCTAGGAGCAGTTATTCTTCTTTTTATTGGACCTTGTCTGGCACAGCTAATGCCATACCACGTGCTGAATTCTGACTGAAATGTCTGAAATACTAAATGCCAGAGGCCAGCGGAGGCGCCCCGCATAAACCGTTATGACGCCATGTTCTAACTATCCCCACCTCTCACGTCAAATGCACAGAGTCAAATTAGTGTGCTTGATACTTTACCGATTTACGATTTAAATCCGACGTCTGTAGAAGTTATTGCCGAGTTATGGAGGTATTATAAAAGACGTCCACAGACGTCCTTAAATTAAGGTGTCACGGAGCGCACATTGTCAATGACGTCTATAGACGTCGTTGTCCATCAACGGGTTAATAGTAAGATGTTTCTACAAAGCCACTATTTATTCTAAAAGTATTTTCTTTAATATTTTTGATTTTAATCTAGGTACTGTTAAAACGATATAATACCTATATTTATTTGCAGGTCTTCTGTAACTAATTTATTTGTAGTACTGGGTCCAATTAAGTTAATAAAAAAATAATAACCGATCATTTTAATGTAATGTATTTAAATGTAATTCAAAATTGAAGAAGTAATATAAAAATTCTTGCATATTAATGAATTCTCCAAATTTTTTTGTATACTACACTCTATCATTGTTGTAAATAAACACGTAATAAACTCGTAGACCTGCAAATATTGTAAAATAGCCATTTTCTCACTAGATTTTAGTTCAGTACAATTGCCGCGAGGTGTTACCCGAAACTTTTGTAACTTTCTTCTTTTAAAATAAAAAAATGGTCTGCTATTCATATATTATCCAGTTGATCGGAGGCACACGAAACACAAAACTATTAAATGATATCTTGTCGTGATAGCGCAGCCTTAATGACTAGCGATACGAATAGCCCTTAATTACTTTTTATTGGGTACTTTACAAAACGTACATTGTATCATCTGGTTCTATGGCAAATTTTTAATCTCGAGAATGCTGTATATTTTTCGGCGAATTTTGGCTACACTGCTAATATATCTCAAAACGCTGACTATTCAATCTGAGATATAGTATATTAAACCAATTCCTAATAAAAAAATTATATTCTTAACTAAATCAATACAAAGAAATGACCAACAGTATTTTTACAGGAGTTGTGTTTCCTGTTACTTACTACGCTCCAATATTTTTATAGTTTTGCACAATTAAAACACTTTTTGAACATACATTTTTTTCATGGCCTAGTTATGCAGTCACAAGTCATTTAATGATAACCGCGATAAATATAGGACATTAAAATAGTCGCTAAATTTTATAAATGAATACGAACTAAGTATCCGATAATTTCATTAGGTTATCATTGGGATTGTTCTGATTGGGCGCGTCATAGCCAGACCTTACCTAACATAACGGAGGTGCCAGGCAGCGAAATCCCTGATTCCTCTAGCTTTCACAGTAACGAAAGTAACGAATCCCATTACCATCCGCATTCCTCTTCGGTGTCGGGGAACTACCAAGACCCCCGTCGAGACATTGAGACACTCAACGAAGAAAATGAGATTGAGTTTAATGCGGACCTGTACAGATCGAACCGTATCAGCCCAAGTCTCAGTGGTCTTGACAGTGGTAATGAAGAATATAGATTCACCACAGGTATTTTTATTTTTATTTAATTTTTTTTTTATTTAATTGTGTCTGATTTTGTTAATTTGACACACTCCATGCGGTTAAGTGATTTTTATCAATAATTAGAAAGTAGAAAGTGTATGCTAAACATTTTGAGTTTGTACTATCATTTGTTTTCCCATATAATCAAAAAGAGATGCTGAAAATTTCAAATTTTCTTTTGATTTTATACGGGGTGTTTCGCGAGGAAAGAGGAATATTTTAACGACGTGTTCTAGAATTCGAAAGAAACAAAAAATCTTGTATAAACACGTGTCCGTGACAAAGAAATTATATAAAATCCGATTTTCCTAAATTTATTGAAAATGACAACACCAAAGCTCACTGTAATATCCCAAAATCATTTTCAAAAAATTTTAAAAAATCGGATTTTTTTTATATCTTTTCACCGCGAATTTCCGAGTTCATAAGATTTCGAACAGGTCCTTAAAATATTTTCCTTTCCTCGCGAAACACCCCATATACGAGATATATAAATAAAAATAATTTCTCATCGCAGTATCACACATTTTTTTTATTGGTGTCAAAAGCATTCTATTATTGAATATAAAATAATAAAGATATCAAAAAAAAAAAAAATATACAGTATATCTCACTTTAGACTGCACTACCCCAATATTTTAAAAATGTTTTTCACTTTTTAGGGTATATTAATTTTTCTTCGCGGTAAACTGTTACTAGGATTTGAAGTATACAACAATATTAAACAAATAAAAAAATATATTATGACATATTGAGAACCGCCTCCTTTTTTGAAGTCGGTTAAAAAGTAAAAAAATTATAAAAAAAGTTGTTCAATCGTTTAAATAGGCTAAATCAAAAAATATTGAAAATATTTTTAAAATGTTGGTCATAATTTCTCAATAATCATTTTTTGATATGTCGACACCCCCATCGAACAAGGTTGTAACTCACGATACGTTCTTTTTAAATTCAGCCACAGGCGTATTCAGCAAAATGAGGCGAATCCATCAATATAAAAGACGTATCTTAATTTGCAATGACTTGGTCGATACTCGTTTCAAAAAAGTTGTATTTCGAGTTACGTGCACCATTTCAGTCTTAAAAAAGCAGTAACATGTGCCAGATACCTCTTTGCTTACTTCAAATTTTGTAGTTTCAAATAAAAAGCATATTAAAAGATTGTAAAATGAATTACAGCCTTTTTTTCCTTTCTCCTGGGCTCGTCTGACTATGTGTCTCCGAATAACACTGAAGCCTATTGGCTTATTGTGTTTTACCCCATCTTAGTTCATAGCATCCACTCTGTCACCTTTGTACCTTGTACAAGTTTGTACAGATCCTTGGGTGAATGGGTTCTATACGTTGTTGGATCAACCTGGGGTTGTCCAAAAAGAGCCTGTCTTTTGCGATCTAGAGCTTTGCATTCGCACAGCATGTGTTCGGCCGTTTCTGGTTTCTTGTGACATAGTCGGTACATGCGTTCCCCATTGTACATGCCAATTTTGTTCAAGTTACCCTTTACTGGAGCGTGCCCAGTCATGAACCCTGTTATCACTTTCAACTGGTTCCTATTCATTAAGAATAGTTCTCCAGTTCTTTTGGGACATGGTCTGCCTATGAAGGCTTTTCCATGTGCCTGTTTTGGGGTGCTTCTCCAATAGTTGATATGTTGTTCCCGAATCCAGTCGTTTATGAAACCCCGGACTGTACTTTTTGGTACCCCTGGGTTTGTGTCTGGTTCCGGTGTTTCTTTTGACCCTCTTTTTGCAAGTTCGTCAGCCTTTTCATTGCCTTCGATCCCTTGGTGACCTGGCACCCAAAATAGTTTTACTCTATTTCGGTCTGCCAGTGTTCCTAGTTCTTCGATGCATTCCCATACCAGCCTCGACGTAACTTTCTGACTCGATATGGCCTTAAGTGCCGCTTGGCTGTCTGACATTATTTGAATATGCTGATTTTCGACAGCTCTTTCATTGTTCGTTTTTTCACATTGCAAAATTGCGTATACCTCGGCCTGAAATACCGAGGAATGTATTCCTATAGCATAGCTATGGTTAGTATCAGGGTTTTTGGAGAATACTCCTGCCCCAGTGCCTTCCGCAGTCTTAGACCCGTCTGTATACCAGATTTGTTCCTGTCGTTGGGCATTGGGCTCCCTTATGGTGATCTCCGCTCTTTCCTGTATTAAAACCTTCTTCTTTGCATATTTTTTAATATACCAATAAAAAAATATACCTACATATTTCTTATTGTATCATGGTTGTATCTTACTTACTGCTTTATTCTGTTAATTGTCAATGTTGTATCTCAATCAAACTCAACTTATTGATTATTTATAAAACTTAAACATTCATTATCTCATAAGTAACCTTCAGTGTGTTCTAACTATCCTATTGGTTAACTATTGGAGTATTATACAGTTTCTCCACAAATATTTGAAAAAACTTTTTAGTTTTCTGACGTTTCTGAAAACAACTAAAATTGAGTTACAACCTTTTTCTCGATTTTTCAATATTATTAGTTTGTATTTAATGAAATTTTGAATTTGACATATTTAAACAATTCAGAACAACTTTATTCATAACATTTTTTGATAAAAATTTCCTAATAGGTACAACTGATTCAATGTTGCTGTTTATTTTAAATCATAGTAGACTAGCAGTTTACCGTGATGAGAAAGTAACTTTGCCTCAAAGTATAATTTACAAAAGAAACTAGTAAAAGAATTCAAATACAGTGAAACATAACACAATTAACTTTTCTTTATTCGCCAATGTTTCTGTCACTAAAATGTAAACAGTAATTTAAGTCGTCCATCAAAATCTTTAGTACAACCAAGCAATCTACTTTGGGATATAAATTTCAAAATTTCAATTTAAAAATAATTTGCTATTTTTTTCGTTAAAAAATGTATTTTTTACATTATTAGTCTATATAGAATTATTAAAATTATTTTAAATTGAATTATAGCTTGGAGAGAGACTTCATTTTAAGGTATATTTTTTATAAATGCAAGTGTGTGAATTTTGTGTATATTGTACACTGACAATGATAAAAATAATTATAGAAACTAACTGCATTTTTTAACTAAAACCTTTTTAAATTTAAAAACCCTGGAAAAAGTTTGTAAATTCAGTTAAAGAAGCTGAAACTGTAGGTAATTTGCAAAATATAAAAAACTTTGTATATAATAATAACAAACAATTTATCCTATATTTAGTTACAATAAATTTTCAATACAAAAATCTTAACCTTAAATAAATAGTATCATTTGTAATAAGTTTACGTCCCTTTATACAAGGTATCTAAACTATTTGGAAGCCATTTTTTCATAAAAAAAATCTTTCAGTTAAAATATTCAATATTTTGATCACATTTGTGTATTTTCTGGTAGACAAAATAATGCTTCAGAAAATTTGAAGAACTAGAAAATAGCAATAACTTTTAATTTAATATTCGATGACATGATTAAATTTATATAAAAAACTTTTACTCAAGTGCAAATTTTTCATTATTTGTTAAAACCTTTTTAGACAACTGTTTTAGTCAATTTGGCCGTTTTCCATAGTCGATCTTTAAAAATATAAAAAACTGATATCTGAATCATATTTTTGAAGCACAACTGTGAAAAAAGGTGTAAATAGCTTCCAAATATTTAGATGCCTGCATGTAGTTGCTTTTATTTACAAAAAGTATTTAATCTAACTTGATTTTGTATTTTTTCCTAACGCAGTGCCTTTAATCATTATTAAACCCAGTGAGTACATAAAATTATTAAAAACGCATGTTTAGCTTCTGCATGAATATTTAAACAAAAAGATATATAAAATATTGAGTTAAACACATTACCTATACACTCTCACAATTCATTACCTCTTAATTGTTATGCAAGATATTACTCATCATGAAATTTTATTAAAGGTATTATTAGGGGTTTTGTGAAATAAAAAAAAAAACCTCTAAAACTCATTTCATAAAATATTTTAATCTTTATAAATTATCAAAAATAATACATAAATTGATGAAATAAAAATTTTAGTAGGTACAAATAAACGTTTACAAAAATTCATTATTTAATTTTACCTTAGAATATAATATTTTTGATTTTTTTAATATATACAGAGCGATGCGTTTAAATTTTCACACCCAAATGAAGGGTAACAGATGAGTCTTAGTAATTATTGGCTTAGTCTGCATTTTTAAGGACTTCTGAAGGTCAAAGTTGGTTTTTTAAATAGAAACCTGTACTTTTTTTAAGTATGTTACTCCACGCGAAAAATCAAGTAAGTTTTATCTGAAACATTTATTAAAAAAATAATTAAGTATAGGTTTCTCTTTTAAAAACAATGTTGACCTTGAAAAGTCCTGGAAAATGCAGTCTTAACGAAACATCACCAAAATTGGTTTGTTGCGCCTTCAATGTTAAATTACATTTGTCTGAAACATTTATTAATATAACGCTTTGTTGTCACAATATTTGGGTTTACCAACTTAAATTCCTCATCCAGTAAAACTAAGCAAACTTGGAAAAAATCTTTGATCAAAATTTTATTTAATAATTGTCAAATTAATTAATGAACTAATTTTACAAATCTGAAATTGGTTCAAACTTTTAATAGAGTAGCAAAAAATATACAAAATTTTGAACTAGAATAAAAAAAAAATCAAATCATTGAAAGGTATGATAGGTACCTACTGAAAGATATTTTTTAATTATTTTTACGGACTCAAAAGAATATTTATTACAGTAAATGAGTAAATCCCTAATACAAAACTATGTACAATATAGCCTTTATTTATTTTTTTTTGTAAAAAAAAAATGTTTTCTTTTAGCCGATAGTTATACACGTCATCCAAACTCATACCTCCCAGCCCATGAATACAACATTCCAACAGAGGCCGATGACTTGCACAGCCCCGAAGCAGAATCCGACGACGTTGAGCCTTATGGATTCCCTAGTAATAGAAATAGAAGAAAAAACTGTGATGACGATATTGCCTCTGTAATTACCACATTAGGTAAGATCTTTAAACTAATACCTAAGTAAGAAATAATTACAAATAACTTTTCAATTATATAAATAGTGGGCTGCAAGTGCTCAGAATTGGTTTAGGAAAAATGTGTTTTAAATTCAGCATTTGAATATATGAAAAAATAATTAGCTACATTTTTCCTTCAAGGCATGAGTTTATGTTATGGTATTTTATATAACATATGATCAATCTGTGTAACTGTATATCATTGAATGTCTAATTTAACAGGCAACCATTATTTGACATGGCATTTTAACGACTTCTTAAACAATAGCTGGTATATCTAAGAGGGTTGCGACATAGCCTTCCATCTTCGAAATAGTAGTTGCCAAGCCTGCCAATTTAAGAAAAATATTTAAGTGGTTTAAAAAATTACATTTTCATGGTGTTGCTAGCATCATAAAAACATTTTGAGTTTATTTCAGTTTTAAAACGGTTTTAATGTGGTAAATAAGAAGATACTGGTTTTAAAGTTACCTTGTAGATATACTGCGGGCACTTAAAAGCCGTTTAGAAATTAATACTGGTTTTAAAGTATTTAATAAGATTCGCTAATAAGGGCAATTAATCTTAAATGTTTGTATGTCTTGATGTAGTTTTAAAATGGTTTAATTTCAATTAACTTTAAAACTACTTAGTTTTATGGAGGACTTGCAGGTTGTTTGGTTTTATTATGTTCTAGATTGTGACGTTTTAGTTTTTAAGTAGTTTTAAAGAGTTTCTTAATGTAACTAATAAAACCTATTATTAAATCTGCTTGATCTTAGGACAATTTGGTCAGTATATATTGCGTTTTAAAACTATGTTATTACGTTTCCTCATAACGGCTTTCTTAAATGCAATTAGATATTTATTAGATATTTGTTAGAAACAATAAAATTAAACTCATCCCCTATTTTAACGTGGCCCAAATGAACCCCGCATTTTGTATCATGTCAAACAGGGGTGTACCTACAATAATTAGAAAAACTGAAAACAATATATTATTATTATTATTATTATTATTATTATTATTATTATTATTATTATTATTATTAATCTAAAAATACACAAAACACAAACGACTGATATAACACGGAAATTTTAAAGTTAGGTTTACATTAAAACCGAGCTGCATTTATTACAGCCGCATTAAAACTAAACCGTTTAAATCATAAGCGAACCTTTCTTTTGTCTAGGATATGTGCTCTTGGAACAGTATAAAACTCGATTAAATAACACTCTTTGATCTTAACGTTTCGTTGTCCATTAATTAAACGGTTTTATTTAATTTCTGGTCATTTTACTTTCTCGAGATGGTGGAAGCCATGATAGATAAAAATATTTAGGCTTACATAAAAACGACAAGTTAACCACTTAAACGTATAATTTCGATTTCTTTTAATTTATGGTTTATTTGCGCATGAGTAATAGATATCATTAATAACTGGAAAGGTCTGTTAGAAAAATCAAATTAAAAGTGACAGAAACATGATAGAAACTACTGCAATAAAACCCAATATTTTATTATATAAATTTTATTCACGATAAGTAAGGTAAAATATTATTTTCAATATTTTTCTCAGTGTATAGCGTTTATTACGCTCGATTAATTTTTTCTCGGTGTTTTATACCGGTCATCCGTCTCATAAGTCAAATTCAAGGTCACAAAATTTACATGATTTACATTATAAGCGTTGTAATTTAAAATTACTATTATGAATTACTTAAGTTATGAATTACTTAAATTATCAATTACTTAAATTATGAATTAAGTACTTAAATTATAAATTACTTGAATTATGAATTACTTAAATTATGGATTACTTAAATTATGAAATATTTAAATTATGCTTTACTTAAATTATGAATTACCTAAATTATGAATTACTTAAATTAGGAATTATTTAAAATATGAGTTACTTAAAGTATTATTTAGTAACCCCTGCTCCTAATAGTTGTACAGGTATTATGCGCATGTTAAACTGTCACAATGAACACATATATTTCATTTGATCTGTTACTTTTATATCGAATACTATCAAAATTATTATTACATATAATTTATATAAATATAAAAAGAACTCTTATTTGAATGTATATCTTTATGTACTACTACTCATAGGCTGATTGCAAATTTTATTTTATTTGTCTTAAAAATCTTGGCTTAATGTCGAGTTTATTTTTACTTATAAGTGCTAAATGTATTCGTTTGTTCTTTTAATTCAATTTCAACATTCAATTTCATATTTCTCCTGAAAACACAAAATTGACGTGTCAATAACAATGTAAGGCGGGGAATTTAAATGTTCTAAGAAACGCCACCTATAATTATGTATTTTCTAGTTAAAAAGTTCTTGTACAGTTGTTCTCTTTCTAGGAACCTCCCACAATAGATTATATTAGTAACAGTGCTGAATGGTAATTATTCTTGCTGATATCGCATGATATCCCATATTTAATCAAATTCTCAGCTCGCGTGTTTACATATACTTTGATATCGATTTAAGTGTTATTTTCAGTTGTTAATTATACTGCTTTTCATCTAGAGTCACCTATTTATTATTAACCACTTGAAAGGAATGAGTTTTGTAAACAGAATCAACTGATTGCAGAAATTATCATTCAGTAATGGATTTCATATTTGTTTCAATGCAAGAGGTGTTAGTATAACAGATTAATGTGGTCTGGATACGTACAAGCAATATTTTAATTAGAATTGAATTTTATAATGATGAAATTTTGATAAAACTATATAGTACCTAGGTAATCTTAATGGCTTGAGTATATAGAGCAGATTTTATTGTCTTTTTATGGTATTTGAATAGACTCTGTTTTAATAATAAAAGTACAGTTACATTACAGCAATATGCATAAGAATGTTGTCATATATTTTAAATTTATTGGTGGGACATTAAATCAGTAGCGTAACGATTTCAAATTTTCGACCACTGCCGCGTCTGGCTAAGAATGAGCGACTGCAAAATAGCGTCTAACCCAAAATGGACGGCTAAATACCAATTCACAAAATCCGTCTCTGGGATTTTTGTTTTAAACTCACTGCGTCAAAGATGAGAATTACAACCTTGCATTTTCGGAGTTTACAATGAAATTAGGATATTGTTGGCAACAGCGTATTAAAAGGACGAGGTCATTGAAAGCAACCGGCAAATATCAATGAAAAAATGCCAAAATACCTAATCTTTGGTAATAATTTACCCAAAATTATGTAGGTACATTAAAAAAAGAGAAACTTATATTTTGTTGGTCCTCCTGTTCAACGTATTACTTCCCGACATCGATTTAGTAGAGTATCCACAAGATTATTTATAAAATCTTGTGGAATATTCTCCCATTCTTCACGAATGGCCTTACTTTGCAGGCCAGTTCATCCTATTGATGTTCTGTGCCTGCAAAAACTCTGTGATCCTTCGAGCTCTGTGAGTTCGATCGTTGTTATTCACCAATAGAAATTGTGGGCCGTAATTTAGAGCAAAAGGAACTACACAATAGGTTCCAAAATGTTCTCCGGATAAACAGTAGCGTTAACGGTTTGGTTGGTAATGAATAGCTCGGTTTTACCATTTCTTATGATACCTCCTCACACTGTAACACCTCCGCCACCAAATGCCTCTTGAGGGGCCATATTTTCCTCCAAATACCGCTGATTTGGCCCTCTCCAAACTAACATTCGGCCATCGGAGTAAATCAAATTAAATCTTGTTTCGTCAGTAAATAAACAATGGCTCCACTCCGCATTACCCCAATTCGCATGCCGATTTGCCCATGCCTGCCTATTCGCTTTATGGTGTAATAACAGCACATATTTTGCTCAGCGACGGGCTCTATAATTTAAAATGATTGGCATTAGTTTGAAAAAAAAATTGTCACCTCAAGTTATTTTTATTTAATGTTCTTCTTATTGTTCTGTCCGAAACTCTCACCCCAATTTGTTGCCTTAAAGAGTCACTTAGTTTTCTAGAGTTCTTTGTTCGATTCTGCATAGTTTCCCTCATTAAAATTTTTTCGGTTCTTTGGTTGATGACGTAGCTCTATTCTTCTTATTGTAATCGGACCCTACCTACCAATACCTTTGCCCTTTGAACGTCGAACGACTGAGAGAATGAATGTACCTACCCGATATACCGATATCCCGAACCAAAATCAAAAAACCCAATTTGTTGCCTTAAAGAGTCACTTAGTTTTCTAGAGTTCTTTGTTCTATTCTGCATAGTTTCCCTCATTAAAATTTTTTCGGTTCTTTGGTTGATGACGTAGCTCTATTCTTCTTATTGTAATCGGACCCTACCTACCAATACCTTTGCCCTTTGAACGTCGAACGACTGAGATAATGAATGGACCTACCCGATATACCGATATCCCGAACCAAAATCAAAAAACTTCTCTGAAAAATATTTTACAAGGATACGAACTCATTTTCTATCGCAGGATGAGGAAGCGCAGGGTACGGAAGTTAATTTATAACCGTTTCGTTTTAACTAAACAGTTTTGACATGTCGATTAGATATAAAAACTGGACCGGATAAATAATAAATATAATTATTTACGCCATCTGTTAAACAGAAGAACCATTAAATATGAAATACTGCTCCATCTATTGAACAAAAGGATTCTTAAATATGACATATAAATGACATCTATCAAAATTAGTGTTACGAATATTGGAGTATGCTACTGTGACCTTAAACAACTACTCGTTATTTTGCAAATTATAACGTAATAATGAAGTATTATTATATAAATATATATGGTTTTTTTATTTCAGAAGAAAGACATTCCTTGCTTGGTGGCTATGCAAGTAGCAACGATCTCTCCACTAACCTCTGCGAAATAGAAGACTCAGAATGCGAATCCGAGCACAAGCCTCTGAACAGCTATCTCGGTGGCGTTCAGCAAACCTCAGTCTGACGAAAACCCAACACGGGTACGATCCGATTGACCCGTTTTATTGGATAGTATCAGAATCAAATGACTACTGCTTCGATGGATGACGGTCGTCTTCTAAGTTTTTTTCGAAAATAACAATTAAATTAAATCGGAAAACGTGATCTTTTAAGGACAGTTTGAGGTAGTATTAGCGCACTAACTATTAACCAACCACAACCTGTTCGGGAATTGAAAACAAAAATTAATTATTATCTCATAGTCTGCATATCACAACAGACAGTTAACAGAGGAGTTTTCTGGCTACTGAAAATTACACAAGTCCTTTTTGTTTAAAAACATTTTTGCTTTGAAGATTTGTCTAACTAAAAACAGTTGTTTGCATCAAATTTGCTTTATTGATAAGTAACATTTTAAAGTATAATATCAACTTATTATTAAAACACACATATGCCCATTGTAGACATTTTATAAGCCTTTCCTAATTTACAATAAATCATTATCGGTTATAATGAAAGTCAACATTTTGGAAGTCTAGCTAAATTTTCACTATCTGAGTAATTAGATAGTTTGGTTGTTTCATTATATTCAGTAATAAATAGTAACCAATCAGAAGGATCGCCATTAAAAAATGGTAACTTACGATCAATGACTTGCCTTCTTAACATGCAAACATTTAAATCTTCCTTTTCGTCTACGTCTTCGACACCATCATTTTGAGATAGTTCACTCCATTTTTCTACCATTTCCGATAGACATCGTTGATCATCTTACTTTTTATCTTTACTTTTCTCTAACCAGTCTGTAACCTTTTGTTTCTCGCTGATAAAGTTACACAAATCTTCTTCATCTACACCATTTATACTTGCTGCTTCATCAAATTTCAATTTATCTATAGCTAGCTGCTCTAGAATTATCTGTTTTTCCATTTGCATTTCCATTATTTTTATTTTTGCATCTAATTCTAGTTCCATTCTAGAGACCATACTTTGTCTGCTTCTGGCTGTAGTTGCCTTTGTTTCTTCACCATTTCCATGACCAGTCTGTTGGTCTTTTTCACATGTAAGCGCATTTTGATCTTTTTCTCCAGTTGTCTCTAAATCGCCTTCAGTTTGGGCTTCCGCGCGTCGTCTGGTATTGTATATCTTCCTAACTGCTCCTAGCAATTTTTGGCTGGCCATAACGTAGAGTTATAGTGTCTGCTGTGAGTCTATAAGCTGGTATTGGTGGTAAATTGCAATAAAATCTATTTTCAACAATATTACTTTTCATATTTTTATTTGACAAGTTAACATTACTTTTTCTCTAGCTATATACAGCATGTTTAACATAATGAAACAAAAATACAAAATAACTAGAACTAATTAATAACAGTTTGCTTATTCGTTTAATTTAAGAAATAATCGAAAATTTACTGAATGAATTAGAAAAGGCGATGTAAATTAATAACTATGATATTCCATTTTTATTGGATCAGTTATTTTATATATTATATCTATTGATTCATTTTTGATCCATCTTTCTATACCATATTCAATTATTTTATTCAGCAATCTGTTTTCTTCCATTTATTTTATTTTTATTTGTTCACTTATTCTAGATTAGCTTTTATTTCCTATTTAATATGACTTTTGGCGATGGATCTTCTACGAACTCTTAAGGATTAACAATAATCTATTCTGACTGTACAACTCAGCAATATAATGTTTAGAGTGTACATGTATGAATCGGATTGACTTTAACATCACTTGATTGTTAATCAACAACTAAAGAACTGTATACCTTTAACCTAAATGTCGCTTATAATTATGAGCAAATTTGTGCAGGTGGCGTGCGAGTTTTGTGTTATTTACAGTAGCCACTTTTTTTAGTTTTTACTCTATTTATTTGTTGTTTTCTTAGGTTATTAATTAGAATGTAATTATATCGTGATAGACTGTCTCGTAGCATTTCACAAAATTCCTCCTTTAACTGAAAGCTACTTAATGATTCTGTATATATAAACAAAAAGAACCTAAATATTTTTATAATGTTAGTGAATGATTCGAAAGAATTACAGGGTATGTATATTTAACCCTACGAACGGTAAAGGCGAAATCTTATGTAGGAAAGGGTTAAATATATTAAGCCTTAGTTAAACCAGTGGTTGAATACTTTAAATTTAAGTACTGTTAATTTTTGCCACTGTTATAATTTAATAGGGTTTTCACATAAAAACCACACTTCTGTATTTTCCAATAGTTTAAGAAAGTTAATTATTTTATGTAGTTGCCTATATAGTAAAAATTTGTTCAGGTTTGATTTTTTACAGATTGTGAAACAATTTACGGTCTACACACGTTTAATTAAGTGCTGTGTTTAACATGAATCAATATTAGATATAGCGAACATTTTTATTTGTCAAGGTAAAAATAGTCTCATTTTGAAAACGACAATTATCTCAGCTTAATTCATTTATTGATTTAATTGTAGTACCCTTAAAGATATTTTTGATTAAATAGTTCGATACAGGATGTCGGGAAATTATGAGCATATATTTCAGAGGACGATTTTACAGCAAAAAATGAACATACAAGGTTATTCTAAATGACGTTAACAAAATAATAAGTTGAGAGATCTTTAAAAATAAATATAATCGTATTGTAATGTTTTGACGAAATAGAACTTTTAGGTCGACGAATGGGGCCTTAAAGGGGCCCCTTAATAAAACTAATTATTATTTTTTCGAAAAGTACTTAGTAGTTAAATCAATTTTTATTAAATTTTGTATGTAGACTTAAATAATGTCATCATCATTAGTTTTTGATTTATGGAAAGAGGATTTCCACTCATACATTTCCTACTTGTTTTTTATTTAACTCTTTTCTCAGTGTAAGATTAGATAATTTTTTCACAATTTAAGTCTAAACAAGAAAGGTACTTTTTCTCGATAATTTTTATCTGCCCTAATACACTCACTCATCATCATATTCGTAGTTAAATAATAATTAAATTTCTTTTCTTATTTAACTAGAATAAGCCATCTTTAAAATATCACATACAAGCAAAATATGTTTATTGCTTATTTTTTTTTCTCAAAAATTTTGCGTTTTAGTTAAAAAAAGAAAAGGGTACCTTTTATGCTTAAAAATGAATTGTGTTTAAGAATATTAAAAATATAGTTGAACTTGAACTTGAAAACTGATGATTTTGAAATAATTTAAGACCAATTTCGGATGGCGTGTATAAAATTTGATACTAATATATTCAGTAGTTTTCGAGAAATAATAAAAATGTTTCTAAGGGTCCCTTGACCTGAAAATTAAAAAATTGAGTATTTTTATTTTAAAAATCTCTACTGAACTATTTTGGGAGCGACATTTAGAATCACTCTGTATTATACACATAAGTCTACAAATGGATCCTTAGGGCGAAAGGGCTTTTTATTATACTCATTAAAAATGGGACTCAGAACAACTGACGATTATCTGATTAAAAATAACACGATTTAACGAAGCATGCTTCAATAAAATATTACAAGTTCCCAAAATATAGGGTGTTAAAGTTGAAAATTAAACAAAACTATCAGTTAAATAAACTTTGCCAGTGGCGTACGGCATAGATAAGTAACACCTTCATTCCTTCTAAATTTTACGTTACAATCCAAAAATTGATTTGGACTATACTTTACTTTTTTGATATTTTTTAAATAAATTATGTACTCTTGTTGGGACTTGTTCGAGATATTCGTAGGAAAATTTTCTTCATTTTAGTTTATTTTTAATTTTGTAATTTATTTTTTATAAATTGTCAACAAGAGTACATGATCTATTTAAAAAACATTAAAATTATAATCTAGATAAGTTTTTGGAGAGTGGTGTAAAATTTAGAGAAGTTGAAGGTGTTATTTACCCATGCTGTACGCCACTGGCAGTTTATTTAAGTGATTTTTTTGCTGATAGGTGTTTTTTATGATACTAATAAAATGTTTTTCTGTATAATTTTATAAAAACATCCAAAATTACAAAATTAAAGATAAGAATATCCACCTTTGGGTGTGAATATCTCTGAAACTTTATGAGTTCCCAACAAGAGTACATGATTTATTTAAGAAACATTAATAAATGTAAAAGTATAATCCAAATAAGTTTTTGGACACTGACGTAAAATTTAGAGGGGATGAAGGGGTTTTATCCATGCCGTACGTCACTGGCAAAGTTTATTTAACCAATTGTTTATGTGCTGTTGAAAATCCAATTTACTCTAAAACTGTGCATTTGATTAAAGTCAAACAAAAGTACCTTTTTTATGTAAGAAACAAAAAAAAATAATTTCGTGGTGAAATTGCTAAAATAATTGAAGAAAATACAATTTTTTCGATTCATAATAACTCTACTTTTGAACGAAGTGAAACAGGCGTATCTGTTTTTACGTAAAAAAAAATAATTGCTGACCCTGATTTAAATTTTCAAATTTATTATAAAAATTTAGTGAGTACAGAATTATATTACTGTATTTAAAACCTTTTCAATCAAATAGATCAAAACCCATCTACAGGATTGATCCATAAAAAAGCTATAATCCTTTTTGTCGACCTTGAAACTTATTAATGTCTATTTTTTACCGTACACTCATCTCTGAAATGTTTGCTTATATTTTCACCCTGTATATTAAGACAATATCTATCTTTATTTAGTGAAAATTATTTTTTCTAAATAATGACAATTTATTTGTTAATTTTGTTACATAATAGTTCGAAAATTCGTAAAAAATTGTAATGTGTGTGCCGTAAATAATATCCTATAGATAGCATACATTAATCCATTAAATAAATTCGCCATTATGCCTTGTAAATTATGTTTATCAAGAAAATATCCAAGCAACATTTTGTAAAATGTATGGATAATGGATATTTTAGAAATAAGTAACAAATATGTGTTGATGTACGAAGATGAATATTTACGACTAACAGATATTTATGTCGAATAAAAACTAAGCCTTTTCGGTAGTAAATTTGTACTTATCCAGTATTTGGTCGTTCTACCAAAAAGGGCACATTAGGTATGTGCTGTAAATTTTTTTAAATATATTTTCATATAGGGTAAAATATATAAAAATTTTAATTAACAAATTTTTAATATTTTTTTTATAAACAATATATGAGTTCTTATCTTCATGTACTCTTTCCTTATGTAGTTGAATGCTTCAATTAGAAAATAGCAGATCAACACGTTAGAATTGATTCAGGTATATATCAGATGCAATGATAAAATCCCAAAAACTACGGATTTTCATTTTATTTTTAACTTATTTCAAAAATGGTATTTGATTGGGGCAACTCGAATACATAAGATGCTTCGCATATTAATGTCACTGTTTCAAATAACTAGATTTAAAATCAGTGTCTTGAATGATTAGTAATCACAACAAGCTAATTCACCAGCGCGACTACTTTTTTTGTGAAGTGGCAACCCTTATGGACCCCAGGTGCTTGGTTCAATCGCGCCTGATAGTGTGCCGTCCTATCCAATTAAACTCCTTATTTTCAACCCCAGCATCCTGGCATTATCTTCAAAGACATTCATTCGGGTGCTGGGTGGTCTTCATGTTTGCGTTTGTTCCTATTGAGAGCTATTTTCTTATCTATTCTAATGTCGCGTTGATTGTTTAGCCCTTTCGTCCTCCTCTTTCGTACCGAGTATATCCTTTGCTAGTTTCCTTATCGCCTCCCACGTCCCGAAATCCAGACATCCCACGTTCTTTGTTTCTCTATTTCACATCTGTGGCAAATAGTATACACTGTAGTGTTTGAGGCCTCCAAGTGCATGCAGATGTCTCCCTCGGTTTTGCCTATTTTCTTTATATAGGACCTAAAACATCCATGTCTTGTCAGTATCTGTGTTGTCTTTGTTCGCACTTGTACCAATTTATTACGTTACCAATTCTACCGTGTTAATTCAAATGGTCGTAACTACGATTTTCCTTGAAATAAAGATATGATCACTACGCATGACAACAATGAATTTTTTGTCCATCTCTATAACTTTCGAGGATATATCTTCTATAATACCCGAGATTTAACGCATAGAAATTTGGGCGTAATTGATTTTTCTAGAAAAATCGACTTTTCACGTTTAAGTATTAAACAGATACGACCATTTGAATTAACACGGCAGAATTATTAGCCTAGTCCACTGCGCTTTATTCATTCTTGTTGCCATTTAGTAAGGCTAGCTTCTTTTTCGAACATCCTTGCTTCCCTGCTGTTTTCTCTTTCATGAAGCCTAGCTCTCTCGGATACCTGGAGATGTATCGGTACCGTGCCAGTTATTACTTGTACGGCCTTTAGTGACGTTGTCTTGTAGGCGCTGGCGATCCACAATGGCACTTACCTTTGGGTGAGGATGGACTTTCCTGCTTTGGGAGCCGCCAACGTTTTTTATCAGCCTAGCGAGGGA